TGAAATACCATCAATTTCGATCCCCCCATTCCAAACCGTGAGTACCCCAGGCCATTTCCGTTACAATATATTAATGTCTTTGATGCTGCTATCGAAACAGCCTGCCCGATGGCCAGATTTGAGGCCCATAAACTTTTTCAGAGAGACAGTCTAGTTTACCTAAACTGGATTAGCGGAGATGAATGCCGAATGGAAGCTGCCATTGAACGAGGGAAATGGACCAACGACAATTGAATAACAATTACCCAGTTTTATGCTGGTCTCCTTGAACTCGATGCGTCCCGGGAGCGTCGCGGCGCCCCAATCAACAAAAGGTCGTTTAACCGGCATGGCGTGCGCCTCGAACGCCGACGTCGTAGACTACGACGCCGTGACGTCACAGTTGTAATCTGGCCGACGAGACATCATGGGATAGAGCGAGCTCTAACCGATGCCAGTCGAAGACCCGCTTTCATCCAGACCATTTTATCCAGGCTCCAGCACTGGATACGTCCGGTTTCGATTCCAGAATTGTGCGGTTTTTGGCGCGCGTTTAAAACTTTTTTGATTTTTGGCTCAGCTCGCGTAGGGCGAAAGGTTAGTTTCCATTACTACTCAGTAGGCCATAGTTCTCCTTTACGTATCTGATGTTTATACCTTTATTGTTGCGTTTTTTCATCACGACACTTAGCAAGTTCTTCAGCTGGAACATTCGTGGCAATGCAGAACACTTTAAACGGCTTCCAAGTGCGGTAATTTCAAAATCGCACATACACCGAGCTTAATTTTTAAACCCTTTTGTTTCTGACGACGCCTTTAGCTTCTTACTCACGACAATGACGCGTAATAGTGCCGGAATAAAAAAAGGCATATTTTACGTATTAAAAACCTTTGAAAAGCGATATCGAACAGTGACATTGACACATTAATGCAAATCAGACGCATTCGAGTTTGACATGTGTGTCAGCGAAAGTCTGCCTGAATTCTTGGTTAGGTACCTAAGTCTAAGGAAGTTTGGCAATGCTTGACTTGAAATCTTTCGTTATATTAACACTGGGTGTTATAAAAAAATCGCGAAAAAATTACATTTTCAGTACCGACTGCACTATACCATTCACCATGTATATTTAAATAAATTTGGTTGAAAATGTGTTTACGGTTTTTTAAGACAATAGCCAATTAACAAAACGTTTGAATAAAATTCTAAAATAAAACAAGCGCCGAAACTCTGGACTATTTCCCATCGAATTGAATGAAATGTTAATTAATAAAAACATGCAATAATCGACAGAACGATGGATTCACAACGCTGTTTTATGGTGAAAAAAAGTCATGTTTATCAAGCAAAAACCTGAAGCTAATTGTTTAAATCCGGGCTAATCCATTTTCCGATTAAGCATTGTGAACCGTTCGGGCAAAAAAACGAATTTTTGCAGGTTGCTTGGGAGTAAATTTCTTTCTGAAAAAACCAAATGTACAAAAAACCAATCGATCACTTGCAAAATCCAACATTGCCAATTGCAGTTCATTGGATTAGTTTTCAAGGGGAAAAACACACTCCTCCACAAGAATTCAATCAGCGACTGCTTCTCTAACGTTTTTTTTTCGATTTTCGTTTCAGTGCATTTCAGGACTTCAAAACGCGCAAAGAATTAAATTGGCAAAATTAGTGAAACATTTAGGTCGAGTAAAGTTTCATAAACAGCCATTTTTCAATTAGTTAGCGCACACCATGAAATTTATGGCATAGTTTGCGGCGAAATTTTATGCTCTTTTCGTGGTAAAAGCTATAAATTATTTAGAGTTGAAGCGAAACGACCCTAAATCAGCGCGTCGAATTGAAGAGCCGCAACGTTGAGCCAGATTTCTATGTTCACCAGCTGGTAAAGTGCATCTAGTTATAGAAAGTTTTCTTTCTCTCCGTATCAAAATTATAACAGTACTTGATTCTCTTATTCCCAGAAGATAAATTGATTTCGATCCCTGAAGATCACGCTGTTGGATCCTGGCTCCTATGGATACATGAAAAGACTCCAACCCTAGGAGAGTCTCCATTCTACAGTCTATTTTTGATCCAGCAAGCCGCAGATTTCCTAGTTGGTTTTTTTTGTTTGCACTTGGTTGATCTCAGTGGATTTGATTTAATTTTATAAGATTTGGCTCATTTCATGATAAAAATGCCATAAAAGCGATAATTCACAATTCGCTTTATTAAATTCCGACAAATTATCTTTTAGATCCCGGGCATGAAACAGGAAAAAACCTCGAAATACTTTCACTTTACAAGCAGAAATTTAATTTGATCGCAGGTGCGTGTTAGCTGATGAGAAAATGGGGAAAATGAATTGCGGGGGTGAGATGATGGGAAGCTTCTAATCTGCCGGGGGAATGTTTTAAACGTAAAGAAACACTGAAGGTATAATATAATAGCAAACCTCAGAGTTCGTTTTTATTTCCTCTTACGTAAGAAGCCATTCCATTGGCGGCAATCTAGTTAGTTGCTCCAAGTCATACCATCAATATCAGCAGATTTTCCGAAAATCCATTATGTATTTGCCCCCAAATCGGATCAGAAATTTTCCAGACTTTTCCTTTCTCGAGCGCGCTCTCCTCCTTTCAACGTCAGCGAAGCCAATAAAATCAGGGTCTAATCACCCTAAAAGCACAGGCGAACAAATATGAATATCGCTAGAAAAAACGCTCCTCCAATTCGAGGTAAACTGAAATTTTGAGGGTCGAGAAGCCGGAATTTTCCCATACATCTCCGGCTCCGGCCTGGATTAAATCCCAGGTAAGCTCTTGGCAAAGTCACAATGGGGAAAATTGGAAGGTCGTGGAAAGGGTTCGCTTTGATAATAAAACGCAACCGCCCAGACCTTCCCGGATGAAACCTGGTCGGATTCGGTAATTTGTGGCGATCTTAACTAAAAAATTATCCGATTCAAGATGCATATTAATCAAGATCAATTCAAATAAGTTTCTTCATTCAATAAGTAGTGGATTACTCGTTTTTCAGTTACTAAGGCAAGTCGACTGACTGTTGAAAAACACGAGTTCTTCAAAAATTCGTCAAGGAAAAGCAAAAAATTGCTGAATGTGGCCCATAACATTACTCGAAAGAGAAAATCGGCTGCTTTAAGTGAGGAAAAACTAACTTTAATATGAAATTTCTGGCAGTTTCCACGATTTTTCAGTTACAAAAAGGCAGATTAATCCCATGTGGCCATCTTTTTCTTTTGACTCTTTTCACTCTTCTAATTACCGGTGTTTCCAATAACCAGAAAATCCTTGGAAAAACGGAAAAAAATGCGTTCTATATGCACACTAGCTCGGACTCACTCGCATCGCTTGGCCACTTTCAGCATCGCTATTCGAACACTCGCCGATCGAAAAAACCATTCAAACACATGCGAGTAAATTTTTAAACACCATCTGTACAGTTCGGGTGGTAAAATGAGAACTTTACGATGCAGCTATTTGACCTTTCTTCCAAAGTTGTTTTGTGAACTTCGCTAAAGTTGCAGTTTTGTGAGTAAGAAAAACGTCTGTTCGGAGCCACCAATGTTGATCGATAAAAGCAACTCGGATTTTAATAAGAAATGAAGCTCTAGCGGGGAATTTCAGTGGACAAAAGTTTCAGGTTTTCCTTGTGAAATCAAATATTTACAAAGTTTGTTATTTACCGTGTTTTGCTTCAATAGACCAGCCACTTTATTAGCTTGAGCTTTTAGTCCAACATTGAGTGTAATCCGTGTTCCAAGAACCATAAACTCCAGCTGTACATTTTCCACTTTTACAACCAGATTAGCCGCTATCGTTAGTCAAAATAAATTGCCGAAATGCTCGATTTTAGAGCTTCTGAATGACCTGCAAAGTCGATATAACGTGTCCCGAATGGGGATTTTAATCCGCGGAAAATGACTGATTTTATCTGGGCGCTATTACGACTATTATGACCCATTAAATGGCCCCAAAGGAGACACGGGAAAATGGCTTTTCAAATTAATACACGTGCTTGCTGCATGACATTCAGGGCAAATTAACCAAATTTGAAAGGGACTAAAGTCAACTTGGCGAACTCTTTGCATACTCGCAATTGCAAACAAAAGTATGCACAACTTTGCAAAGGGCCACTGCTTCCAAAAAGTAAAGACTCCAACTTGTTTGATGAATATACAAAATATAATTTACAAATTCCAATTTGCCATCGTACGCCTGACGAGAAAAAAAGTCCATTATAAGGCGAAAACAACTTTCTCCCACCTGCCCGACGGAATGAAAAGTTGCCGAATTGTTTTCTAACAGGCTGCGTAAAAATTCAAGTTTTCCTTCATCAAAGCAACGATTAAAAACAATAAAAGCTACAAACCCAGACAAACGTAAACGTCGATGTTTCCACTGTTTATGTTTGGAAAGTGTTCGTTTCTCATGTTTATACGAAAAAAATCGTTTGTTTTGCGTCAGACTTTGCCATTTTTTTGTGTACAGTACGAAAATTGTTCAACAAACTTGATAGGTTTAGATAATTATTGCCGTGAAACTGAACGCCTCCTTAAAATATTTGCTGATGATCCGAAGCAACCCTAAACGAACTCAAACTCAAGCAAACCTAAACAACCCAAGCAAATCCAGACTAACCCAAATGAAGCTCAACAAACGCAAACGAACACAAGCGAACGCAAAAAAAATGATATTTGATTTAAAAGAAAATACAAAGTTTAGAAGGTTTAACAGGTCAGTTTGGTTGAAAAACTTGAAAGGTTTAGACAATTATTTCCGGTAATTTCGCCGATTGTATTTTTTTGTCGTAAAACTCAAGGATTTCGTAAAATTTTTATTCATGAATCGAAGCGCGTAACCCAAACAATCACAAACAAACGAAAGCAATCTCAAATAAGCCCAAACACACCCTGGTTAGCCCAGGCTAACCCAAACAAACCCCAACGAACTCAAACGAACCGAAGCAAATTGTAAGTTGGAAGTTTCATTTCGAAAAAATAACACAGTTTAAAATCCTCTATTGTTCTGTTTACTTGAAGTAATATGAACAGTTTTTGTAAGAAGTTCTATTAAAGAACACCCTGTAGGCTTTTCCTGTATATTTAAGAAAATTGGCAACATCGCAGGTAACTTTCTTCAATTTCAGGCAGTTTTCTTTAAGAGAACGTAGAAGAACTGCATCCAACTTTGGTGCTTGAAAATAAAAAATCGCTTGTTTGAAGTGTCCAGTTAAGGTCATCTAATGACAGGCTGTTTTGCGCTTTTTGGGTTAGTTTGACTAAATTTTGAAAATTTTATAAGAAAAACAAATCATGAAAAATGATGGACCACCACAAGAATAATCTCGAAAAGACAAGTTTCGATCAGAAACACAATCACACAAGGTCAAGATGAAGCAGATGAAGAAGCGATGGAAAGGGAATGTAGGAAAAGTTTTTGAAGACCAAAGATAGGAAAACCTTATTGAAAAGCGCCTTTTTTTAGAAAAAATTCAAAGTCCCTTCGGCTGCACAAATGGAAAATGTGAATGTTGTGAGTTTCGAAAGGCCTCAAAAGCAGCAAAAAGAGCAAAGGATTCAGAACAGTTTCCTACAAATAATGCTGCAAAAAACCTTGAGAGGAAGAGAACTAAGAAGGCCACCCGAGAGAAGTGAAACTGTTCACGTCCACTTGCGTGATCGGACTGAGTTCACGAACATCAGCGAACACAGGCGAACTTGCAACAAACTTTTACTCCTGATGCGTCCGTTTAAATTCCTTGCAATGGATGCTTACAAAGAATAATCAAATATCCGATATTGTTAAAATATCTTCAATATCATTGAACTCATGTAACCTGAATTTTTTTGATCATTATCAAAATAAACCCTGTGTAACGCGAACAAACATCAAGTTATCGTTAGATTTTGGATATAATCCTATTCAAAACAGGACAATAGACCCATGCAGGGTTAAAACATCAAATTCCCCATTTCGGGGCAAAAAGGGGTGCTTTGTTGATGTTCGCCTATCGGCCTAGCGCAACTTCCCGTGTTCATCTCGTTTTGCGAAAAACTTTTAATTAACAAAGTTTTCACGTAAATCGGCCGCCATTCCTAGTTGGGGGATTTTTATCGGCCGACTCACATATAAGCGGAGTTTGAGCGAATAACTCTGATCTTATTACCAGGCCGAAAATTGCCGCTACCAAGACGGGAATATTTTCTCTATTTCGCCTCTGTCGCTTGTTTTATGCCCTCGAGCGGTCCATAATTCTACTTTGTGTCATAAACATACAACCAGGAGCATAACTCCGATGGGAGCAGTAAAACATGGCACATTCCAGGCGGAAACTTTCCCAATGAAATATGTATCAACTGTCCATATTGGCGCTGGAATAAGCGTTAAACTGGTTTTCCGTTTTACTTCTTACAATTACGTTTCATCAGGAATTTTTATGGGGCCGCGCTTGAAAATATTTTTATGGTCGTTACAATCTTAAGGTGGACTTTGCAAAGTGGTGCGCTTTCGCCGTCATTGCCACCCTTGAAGATGCCAGTCACTCGTACTTGCGAAACATCATGAAGAATTTCCCTTCCACTATGGGCTAAAAGCCCCTGCCGGCTGTTTTTCATTCAAGGCAATTCCGTCTGAAGATACCCAACTCCCATGATAGCGAAACATCGACCATAGTTCCGATAAAAATAGGAAAAGAATGCTTTGCGTTTGTTAGTTAACGTTTAATAGCCTGTTCACGAGCCAACTGGATATGTTTGTTCGGTTACTTTACAAAAACCAGCGCCGTCCATGCTTTATAGCCGGCAATATGTCTTCAATTTCAACTAGCCGAAAGCAAAGCGAATCGGCCATCCGGGATGCGTCATTACCAGTGATTAATGGGATCAACATGATTTTTGGATTAATTGGTTCGTTTTCGTTGATTAGAGCAAAGTGTTGTATCAGATAAGCAAAATTACATCGAATTGGGTAAACATTTTTTCGAAATACATTTTTGTGTGCCCCGTTATCAGTATGTTTGCTTATCCAGGACTCCGTCTGTCCCGTTTTAATAGTAAACAATTTTTCTTTTTGGAGAAAACTACGATAATTTTGTGTTAGACTACGACGGCTCCAACAAAGAGATTATTAAATCAGCAAAATCTCGAAACTCTAGCTTGTTAAATAAAACCGATTATTGCATTCCAGAACGTAGCCCTACAAGGTGAATTTTCTTTACAATCGCTAAGTTTATAGTTTAAAGTCACTTTTCTATACACACTTCATAAATGCATATTGGTGACCTTCTTGCGTCGAAAGGAATGGATTGAGCCCAAAAAACACGCATGTGAAATTTTGATTTCTGGCCGAAATTTTTCCAAGGGTGAAGGTCGATTTTTGGAAAAAACTAAAATATTTTCAATATGTCTTGAATTTTACATAATTTTCAGCTCTCGGACGCGAGGACTGCATCGAACTCATTAAAAAACATGGTCGAAGTTTCAGAAAAACTGAAGGTTTTTCAAAAGATTATCCTGAATACTAAAGACTAAAGACTATTTGAATGCTTGAGAGTAGGTATGCGATTTTCCCAATGTGATCGATCTATCCAATTTAGCACAGTTTATATGCGCGTTTCTCCCGCGTTCCATATTTGCCCGATATACAAGTTCGCTTATGAAGAATTATGGGCCGTGCCAGAATAATCGCCATTAATCATCTGTGACATCAACTGAAAAATGCGTTCAGAGGGCCGATTTCGATTTGGAAAATCCATACTGATGTCTTATTCGGTATCAATCACCGTTCGATTGATAGATTTGCCAATATTGAGCCCCCATCCGATACCACTTGATATAGAGGGCTGCAAGGGAAAATATCAACTGGAGTTTTACACAACAGAACTAATCTGGAATAGTTTAGAAGTGAACAATTCGAATCACCTTAAAGGCACATCGAGAAACTTTTCTCATTTAAGTATTCCCCAAGTTGGGCGGCGGACGGGGGTGAAAGAATTGATAGAGCGTAGGACACACTAAGCCAACACGTGTATTTGCAAGCTCTCATAATTGCCCATATTTAGGATAAACTTCAGACGCTCAACGGCTAAGACCCAAGGTGGGTGTTCCACGTTGCTTAATAGCCTCAACAAAGCATTGCTTGCAATATTGCTTCACAACTTTGCGCTCAACATTTAAAGCCAAGACATCGATTTTTTAAAACGTTGTATAGGGCAGGTTTTGCCATTTTACAGGCAATATTCTCAGAAATGTCCACTCAGTGGTTACGCCCTATTTTAAGCGAGCCCTAATTTACATTATTTTAACTAGTGTCTTTTCTTTTATATAGATTTGATGGACTCTGGTCATTTGTTAGCTGACAGGGGCTAAGAGGTTCGAAACAGCCAACAGCCTGAATCTTAGTTCATACTTTTCTCTGTTGCGCTAATAGTTTTTCCTAATTTCAGGCTGTGATCTTCGATGAGATCGAACTCACCGACCTGTGCCTAGCTGAGTGTTCAACAAAAAACGTCAATCACAGTTTTCAGGTAACTAAAACAGGCCGAACTGAACCTACTTATAGGACGAAACCCGAATAAATATCGATTTCTCGTTTGCATTTTAAAGTATCAAGAAAGTGTACAAATTGGATGCTTCTTTGTGTCGCATAATGCTACTCTTTCCCTCTAAATGACCATATTTTGCATTCTGATGGACATTAAATCAGCAGCTCGATGGCGCCCTTTGATTTCGCATTTAAAGTAGCACAAAAAGATCCATGCTTCTACAATCCTTTCGATGTAACTTCCGAAATTATCGAGCATACGGGCAAAATGTGTTGCATAAAAGATAAAGTTCCGCAATTAGTGTTAGGCAGGTGGAAAAGACGCGGAAATTACAGTGAAAGCTTTTACCACCTGCGCTGCGTTAAAGATTAGCCTAAAATGCGCTTAGCCAAGGCCCTTAGCAAAGTGCACGTAGTTTCCAGAAAGTCCTCCATACCTCCAGTTTAAATTAAGAATGCCGATTAAATGATGAGCCCATAAGTTGAGCACAGTTTCCGTGCCTCAATTTGACTTTCAAAGAGTCGCCACTTTTGCCACTGTTTTATTTCGGAAAACGCATAACTTTTATAAAGTCCCCCATTTCGTGCCGGCAAGTTGAGGAAAGTTTTAACAAGTGGAGCACATGGTGTCACGGTTTCATTGAAACTTGTACTTGTCGTCAAGGAAAAAGGGTATTGAGGTCAATTTATTGGGTTTCGCACAGCTCTGAACCTATATTTACATGCCAAACTTTGAGTTTGTTTGAAAACTTTGCCATATTTTTTTCATTTTCCATCTTGAACAAAGTGGGCGATGCGCTGATGAAAGTGGAAAAGCCATGCGAGCGAGGCCGAGCGAGTGTGCGATAGATCGCGATTTTTAGTGCTCTTTAGCCGACGATTTCTTCCTCATTTTTGATCCAAACACTTTACAAGTGGATATTTATGATCTTGTTACGTCAAAAGAAATCGATTGAGCGACGCAGCTTGATTATCGGCCGAAATTTTTCTAAGAGTGGGAGTCGATTTTTTGAAAAAATTAAAATTTATTCAAAACGTGTTAAATTTTACATCATTTTCAGTTCACGGACGCAAAGAATGCATCAAACTGATTAAAAAACATGCTAGAAGTTGCAGATAAGGCACTCTTACCTTGGTCATCCTGTAGAATGCTCTTGTTTTCCAATATAGCGGGTCTCAATTTGAAAACTTCCCATCCTTAATATCCTGCCAACGATTTAAGTCGCAAAAATCGTCAACATTTTCTTTACAATCGCCAATTTTCTAGTTTAAAGTCACATTTTCGGGTCCTTCAATCCTTCGACAGGCAATTCCAACAAATAAGACACTTTCCAAAAAGAACGTGTAAAAACCGGTTAATTTAAAACTTCGAATGAAATAAATGCTGCTTTACTGACAGCGGGTTTCAAAGTTGATGTGTTTGTATTCACTCGTTGCCATGGTACGCGTCTTGTATTCAAAGAGTTGACAAGCGATTGGTCGATCAGGTTTACGTGTTTCCGGAAACGCGCTTCACCAGGGACGGTTTCTAGGCAACGAAGGTTGTTGATTTCTTCGAAGATGGAGAAGTACTGATTTTGTGCGGAAAATATTCCCTGTGGAAGAAATGAATTAGTGACCTTTTTATTATTGACTTCATAAATGCATTTTTGTGACCTTCTTACGTCGAAAGGAATCGATTGAGCTCAAAAAACAAGCATGTGAAATTTTGATTTTTGGCTAACCCAAATTTTTCCAAGGGTGGGTGTCGATTTTTTGAAAAAATTAAAATGTTCTCAAAATGTCTCAAATTTTACGTCATTTTCAGCTCACGGACGCGAGCAATGCATCGAACTCACTAAAAAGCATGGTAGAAGTTTTAGCTCCGAAATAATAGACATTTTTGGCACAATTTAAGCATTTTTTGAGCGTTCACGATCTTTAGCCGACGATTTCTTCTTCATTTTTGATCCAAACACTTTATAAATGCATACTTCTGAACTTCTTACGTTGAGGAAAACCGTTTGAGCTCAAAAAACACGCACGTGAAATTTTGACAGCGACTAATCGTTTCGATTTAGTATCCGAAAAAATCCTAGACACTCCCGAATTTCCTATTAAAGTGCGTTTTTCCACATTTAAAGCAGCGCATTTTCTCTATCGAGTAATATTAAGAGCCGGATTGTGCGATTTTTGGCTTTTTGCGGGTGAGCACGCACCCAAAGGCTTTAAACACGAAGAAGGGAGTCTAATTAAGCGCCATCCTCCAACTTAATTGACGTTATCAGGAGCTTATGAGTCAATTCACGAGCTGCAGTCTAACAAGGCCTTACTGCTTGATCATATTACCGCAAACCGTTAAGGAGTATCGAAGCTTAGGTGAAGGATAATCGCTTAACTGTCTTCCGCCATTAACAATCCATTAAAGAAGTTATCCGGAATGTGTAAAGTTTCCAAATGAGTTGATCAGTTGGATGGCCTTAAGATGCCCTGGTTCACGTAATCCGATCGAAGCGATTCCATAAATGCCCCTTAGCGTCAATGGATAAAATGAATGGAGGCGCACACATTATTTTTACAAAAGACGACGTTTCAATTGAGGCGACTGAAAGAGAACAACGGAAAATAATGAGGTTAATTAACTTCGAAGGAGAGTAGTTTCATAAAAGAAACCTTTCCACGTTAATTGGTTTATCGTGTGACTAATTGAGTAAAACGCCACGTCGGATTCGAAGCTCCGAACCAGATTCTGATGTAATAAGCGAAAGTCCGTCATTTCTCGTATCAATTAATTTTCCGCATCCAGGAAATCCAGTCAAAGACCCAATAATTAACTTATCACATCGAAGAGTTACCTTTGAATAGTGTCTCTGGAGTTTTATGGAATTAGAGCGCGCGTTTTACTAAAGGGAATCCGAAAAAGGCGATCTTCTATATGTGCTTTAAACCTCCCCTTTCAGGGAACAGCCTGTGATTAATTATGCCACACGGCACAAAGGCACCAAAACTTTTAGAGCCGGCGGCGCCATTCAATTAGAGTAGGTAGATATCTCAAAGCACTCCTTTACTTGGAAATTTAGACTGGAAAGCTACCGATCTTTGACTACCAACTATTTCTTTCAGCTTATAACCCCGTTCAGATCGTTAGTGCTTTGCTGCGAATCCCGAAGAGAAATGGAAGAGTGGCTCAGTGCACTTACAGCTGCCTCGCAGCGCCGGTACCACGAACTGGAACCTGACTGTCTTTCCGGTCAGCACCATTGGTAAGGATAAACTTTCTTTTGAATTTTAAAGCATTGCAGAGTTTTTCAAAGACAAGCCACAGAGCTGAGTTTCCTTAAAAACGCCGTCCAGGTTGGTCCAGGTTAACCGTCATAAAAACCGTCATAGAATAAAGTAGACTTTTATTAAAAAAACTTGACTTGCAGATGTTTCCTAGCAGAAATCAGCGGGTCCAATGAAGGCCTAAATCAAAAGGTTACAAGAGATTTTTTTCGTAAACATGACCAGCAAACGTAAATATCTTTTTATTATGTTCCACCTAATTATATTCTTGTCCTTCCTGGGTCTCAGTCAAAGTGTGAAGTAAAAATTTTGAATATTGTAACAGCGCCATCATCAGATTTAAAATTTACACAAACTCATAATTGGTAAACATTACATTCTTTTAGGTCAACATCTCGTTAAAGAATGTTAAATGTTGCAAATAAAAAAAATATTTTACATTCAAAAAGAAATTAAATGAAATTTTACCTATTCCTGATCCATTATAAATTATTAGACTGACAAGAATATTAAAATTATAAAATAAAATTATTGTTGCCATCATGCGTTAAACAAGTTCAATATTTTATGGTTTCTATTAATTTATGAAGTTATCACTTCTGTCGAGCGTCCCGTGACAAACACCATTTTTTTTWTATTTTTAGTTTTGACCTATTCTGAWCATTTCTTCGCGGATCAAATTGTTAATTGGTAGAAAGGTTATCATAGTAATCTTTAACTTTCTGATAAAAAAAGKTTCTCCACTTTACCCCTAGATGGCACTTTACCTGTACCTTTTTTGAAACGCAAAATRTCGCAAAARGGAATATGCGATKTAAAGATTAGAAAATACTAGACAAAAAATGTGCGCCWCGACTCGAAAAACCGCTTCGTTTGGGAGCAAATCTACGTCAAAATGTTTATAACTGTCAACCCAGTGTCCTTGGATTTAATTRCAATCGCAGCAAATCAAGTCGCCTGRTTTTAGAATCTGCCAAATTTGACAATTTATAGTGATTATTCACTATAAATTGTCATTGTCATGTCAATTGTCATGTCTTCATGATATATCAATTTAGACTATTTTTTGTGCTGCATTTGATCGCAACATTTTAATAKTCTCGATTCTCAATTTTAGTTTAATGGCTTKAKRGCGCAAAAATGTAGTCTAAATTGATACAATAATTACTATAAATTGCCAAATTTGGCWCATTTTAAAACTGTTCWTTAAATCGTAAAATTCATCTGGTAGTAAGTAAAATTAAATATATTTCCCGATCGATTTCGGAACTGAAAATTGGTCGGGCTTTCTGCATTGCCATTTTCTACATGGAAAATTAATTTAAACCATTTCGTTGACGTTAACATCCACCACCCTGTATATGTATGCCGCTGTGTTCTCCATGCTTGTGATGCTGAGACAAAATAGCAAGGAAGAATAAACTGGAATTTAGAAGATTCTCACCGAATACGACAATTGTAGAATTGAAGAATCTTTGCATTATTTGAACAGGGCCCAGATTTAACTACCTTGCAACATATGCAGAAGGACAAACATGTTTTTTTGGCTTCTCTCGCCTTAAACATGAAAAACCTTTGTCAAGCCCTGTAACCAATCAAGCATTCTCATAAAAAATTGTCAAACTAATTGTGGCTCATTGGCACAGGCCTCAAACCATCCAAGCGTCTTAAAACTTAACAATTTTGTTTATTCCCAGCTAAAGCAATCTCAGTTTTCTCATTTTGCGCGAGTTGTCAATAATCCATTGCGAATCCGAGCTGATGAATAAACATGTTGATTTAAGTTTGGCAGTATAATTTCATCGGGCTTTTATCCCTGCCGGCTTGAAACTACCTCAATCCGCCATTCAGCAGGATAAAACGGTTTACAGCGAAATCCATTAAACAAGTTTGAATTGGACATTTTGCCGGGATCATTGTTCAGTTCGCGTAGTTTACGGATTCAAAGGATTGTGACACAATTGGGAACAAAGTGCGCTGGGAAAATTAGAGCAATTGTCGCTGGCAATGATTTGCCAATTTTCTTCCATTCAAACTTGCAAAGGTTTGCCGGATGGATTTCCAAAACAACTGAGCCGCTTTTAACGCGATTAAGCATGTTAAAGGGGCGGGATATAGACAACAGGGAGTTTTTGCGCCCCTTAATTGCAACACGCTTTAGGTTATCCGTTATTCTGAGCATGCGTAATAGTAAAGAAATAACCGTTTACGTTATTAGAGGATAACGTGTTCCTTGATTTACGTCCGAGGAACGGTAACGTTAATAAGCATCACGTTATAAAGCAGAACGACGGTGTTGACATATTTCTAATATTATTAATAAAATAAGCGGCTCTACTAGAATAAGAAATCTTTGTAAATTTAAGATGGTGTGTAAAATTAACCCTCTTATTAAATTGGTCATTCCGGCGCAGAAAGACAGCTTCAATGTTTTCTTCCATCTTAGCCACTTTTTGTTTAATAACAAGAGAAACTTAAACTAGCTTTGAAACTTTTCCAAACAAAACGGGATAAGAAAACAATAAAGTGAGGTTTGTTTTATCAAGAGTGCGACAAGCGCGGTATCAAAAACTAAAAAACTCACTTAACGTTATTTGCCTGAACACTTTATTTTTTCAACACGGCGCATGATTAGAATATCGTTTAGCGTTTAAGGCCAACGTAATTTTAAGGGGACTAAAAACTCTCTATTTAATCAAAGTGCTGGTAATTAGAGAAAATAATGCACATTTTTCAACTGTGCCGGAAAACTTCCAGGTTAATTTCCTAAATTATGGGTTTGAGCTCAACTACCCACAGTTTCCTGCTAAATCAACCCGACAACCGCAAAAGGATTTTCCGTTTGGCAGGTTAATTTCCAAGTCTAATTGCAAGCTGGCATTCTACTTCTGGATTTTCAGAAGAAGAACAACTTTCTTTGATGGTTAATTAACACGCCTGCTTCGTTTACAGTTTCGCTTTGAGCCGTTTATAAAATAGGAAACTGGCGAGGAAACGCCATGACTTCATCCTGATGTTCAATAAACGTGTAGCAGAGCCAAATGCGTTGATTAGAAGTGATTTGAGATGGTCATAGTTTTCAAAATCCGAATTTTTCTTTTTTAGGTACGCACCATCATTCGATGCCAGACCGACTTATTGTAACGTTTGCCGTTATAAAATAAATGCTCGCCATTTGCTGCGATGCGAAGTGTGCAAGTTTAATGTGCATAAACGATGTGCAGCCAAAGCGATAAACAACTGCAAATGGACCACTTTGGCCTCTGTGGGCAAGGATATCATTGAGGATGCTGATGGGGTAAGTGCGGGCCTTGTGAGCGGTAACCTACTTTTGAAAGATTCCATAAAACGAAAGGTTGCAGCTCAATTTGATATTTGCTTTGGCTGATAACATTTCATCTAGAAAGTTTTACATTTGCTGTGTTATTGCAGACAGTTTTCAACTTTCTGAGCCACTCCGGGCAACGATCTTGGGAACTGTTGTGCTCAGAGTTATCATTCCATGTTATGAAGCGTTAAAATTTCTATGTTCCGCTTCATGGACATGTTGTAGGCGATGTAAAGGAATTTTAAAGCGGGCTTTCGCCCAACACAAAGCCCCAATATTCCCAAAGAGGATTTCCCGTAGCGGCCATGTATTCCTGAAACAACAGGTTTCCTGCTGGATTAACAAAAGCTGATTATCCCAGTTTGCTACTAAAACGCCCATATTAAGTGAAGCCTGGTTGCAACCGGATTAACTTTTGCCTTTTATTTTCAGCATATTCTTATGCCGCATCAGTGGATGGAAGGTAACCTGGCGGTGCTGTCCAGGTGCGCTGTATGTAATGCTGTTTGTGGCTCAGTTTTAAGGTAAACGCCGTTAGTAGAACTTAAAAACGCAACTGTTCTAAGTGTGTAAATAAAAAATGTATTTTTTTGCGCATTGTGAAAAAAAGTCTAAACAGGCTGTCCCACCGCGGTCGAATCTGACAAACTATAACCACAAAATATCCCCCCTAGGGGGTATGTTCTGTGACTATAACTAGGAGAATTTTGAAAGTCGAACAGTGTGGCAACATCGCCACAATCGAACATGAAGTCATTGGGGGCAAGAGATCTAGAATATTTTCAATAGGGATACACTTTCGGTTATACCGGAAATAGGTGTCAACTTGCTTATATCAAACACAATCGCTTCCCCCGCTTATTAAAAAAATTAAAGCTCCCGATATTTTAGAGAAATTTTGAAAATTTACAAAAAAAACGAAAATTGGTGCAAATGTGCAACTTTGGACTCTTGCATATGTGCGCCTGTTCTACGAAAGTACCGAAAGCTCACTTCATTAACTGCCCTTGATGAAATTTGATGAATCTTCAAAGACAATCGCGTACCATTTAAACACCCGCTTTTAAGTAAAATTTGGAAAATTTTCAAAAAATTAACCAACATCCAATGTGAAACTTTGGACTCTTGAACACTTGCGCCTCTTCTACAAATGTACAGAAATTTCACTTTATTACCTGCACCTGCTGAGATTTGATGAGTTTTCAAACAGAATCGCTTCCGATTAAAGCACCGCATATTTTAGAAAAATTTTGAAAGTTTACCAAAATTTAACGAAAATTCGTGCAGGTGTGACATTTTGTATTCCTGAACATTTGCGTCTTGTCTATAAAAATACCGAAAGCTCACTTCATTAACTTTCAGACAATAGCGTCCCATTTAAATACCCACTTTTAAGTAAAAATTTTGAAAGTTTACCAAAAATTAACGAAAATTCGTGCAGGTGGGACATTTGGGATTTTTAAACATTTGCACCTTGTCTTTAAAAATACCGAAAGCTCACTTTATTAACTGCGCTTGATGAAATTTGATGAATTTTCAAAGACAATCGCGTCCCATTTAAACACCC